GATGCTCCGGCGCCGGTTCGCTCCGAGGTCTCCGCCACCTCCGACCTGGAGCAGGTGAAGGAGATCCTGAAGGCAACGCGGGACGCCGATCCGCTGGAGGACAAGGAGAGCTTCTACCCGCTGCAGCAGAAGACCTCGTACATGTCGCCGGTGTGCACGCTCAGCTCGGAGAGCAAGCGCATCATCCGCCAGGCGCAGGTGCCCATCCTCCAGGCCAGTCCACGGGTGGTGCACTTCCTCTATGAGGTAGGTGAAATACTTTATCCCTTTATTTTTCAATCAAAGCAATGGTCTGAAATATTTTGCTGATCACATCATCATCACTCGAGGGAAATTACTCCTGCTCTCAGCAAATTCCATTTGCCTTTGTTTATTTGTTTGCTGTTGCTTGTTTATTTACCTTGTTTACTTCAACAATGGCAATCTCCCCACACAGGCTCGCATCGAGGAGCTCGAGGAGGAGCTGGAGAAGGAGCGAAAGAATCGGATCCGCGCGGAGAAGGCCCGCACCGACCTGAGCCGCGAGGTGGAGGACATGGGCCTGCGGCTGGAGGAGGCGGGCGGCACAAACAGCCAGCAGTCGGAGGTGAATCGCCGCCGGGAGGCGGAGATTGGCAAGCTGAAGCGCGAGCTGGAGGTGGCCAACACCAACCACGACCAGGAGGTGTTCAATCTGCGCAAGCGAAGCAATGACATTCTCGCAGAGCTGCAGGAGCAGATTGAGCTGCTGACGAAGGCCAAGGCCAAGTAAGGGGGAAGATAATTTACGCTTCTTTTTCGCTCGCTCACTAATCCTTCCGCTTTTGCCTGGTAATTGCGACACTGTAACCGAGATTATCTTTTGGTGCTAATCACCACCACTGCATCATCACCACCCTCGCAGGACCGACAAAGACAACGCCGTGCTGACGGCCGAGGTAGCTGATCTTCAGGCGACCGCCGAGAATGCCACCAAATTGCAGGTATGTGCTGCTGTGTTTTTTTAAAACAAAATTGGGATTTCTGAATTTCTACAGTCGCAATTCAGAATTCAGAACAGAATTCAGATTTTCTGCAGAGTTTCTGCGGTGGCGGCTGCTGCTGCTATGCGAGTTATTTGTGCAATATAATTTATTAGTGCAGCTGGTGACACTGACGTTTTGGGCACACACACACACACACACTTCTGCACCGTCTTTCTCTTTTTTTGCTTTTAAAGAGAGAGATGACAACGGGGGAAAATACATAGTTTAGCACAGGAAGAAGCGCTAGAGCTAGAGCGAGCAAGCTCCTCCGAGCACGACGACGAGTGATTGCAGATATTTGCGCTAATCTACGTGTGTAAGTAAGAAGGGCGAAAGAGAAAGTGCTGGTGGTGATGGCGGCAGTGGAGTGCAAGCACCAGTTGACGATTTGTACGGCGGCGGCGGCGGTGGTAGACGATTTTTGCAGCAAAAAGCAGGCAAATCCTCTTCAAGCGTCCCGCTCGTAAATCGACCCCGACGCTGACTATATTTAGTGCTGCTGTTGATGCTGTTTAGTTGGTCGGTCGGTCGGTCCGTGCCACCGTGTCCTGATCGGTGTGCCGCTGTGTCATTGCATTGCTACTGAATGAGCACTACTGATGAGGAGGTGCAGCAGACTTTTGAAAAAAAATTTTAATTTTTTGCTATTAAACTTTTGCTCCTTATTTTTGCTTCTACTAAGTGGCAGGAGTGTAACTAGAGCTAAGAATATCCACACTGCCGTTGCTCATTAGGAAGTGCACCCAGTGAGAGAGTGAATGAAAGTGCTTGCAGTCGAGTTGCACTACTGCAGTACTTGAATTGCCTAAAATGGGCAAAGCTCTCCTGACTAGTAAGCGTTAGAAACTCCCGGGTTGATTGATCTGTTTTGGTTTGCCTGTTTCTGAACACTCACTGACATTACTACAACTAACTTTAGGCAAATGCAGAGAAGCACAGCAAGCACGTGGAAGGTCAGCTGGCTGAAGCGAACAAGAAGGTGGACGAGGCGAATGGCCGCGTCGGCGACCTCGAGGCGACCAACAAGAAGCTGGCCAACCAGAAGGCCGAGGTGGAGAAGCAGTTCCAGGAGGCGGAGGCACAGCTGGCCAGCATTGAGAAGATCAAGGACCAGCTGAAGAAGGAGCTCGAGGATACGAAGGGCCTGGTCACTCATGAAACACAGGTAACGGAAACAGAATCGAATTTATTCTCTATTCAATCTTATCACCCCATCTCTAAACAGGAGCGACTAGCTCTGCTGAGCAAGTACCGCAACCTCGAGATCGACCTCGAGTCGGCGCGCAAGCTGATCGAGGACGATGAGAACATCAAAAACAACCTGCACAACCAGCTGAGCAAGGCGCACACCGAGATTCAGCAGTGGAAGGCCAAGTGGGAGTCGGCCGGCTACGTGCCCCGAGAGGAGATGGAGGAGATGCGCAAGAAGCTGACGCTGCGCCTGCAGGAGGCGGACGACCACATCGAGCAGCTGAACATCAAGAACAGCAGTCTGGAGAAGGCCAAACTGCAGCTGACGAACGAGGTGGAGGAGCTGGCGAATGAGCTGGAGCGCTCGCACGTCATGGTCGTCACGCTGGAGAAGAAGGTGAAGGCGCAAGAGAAGGAGCTTCTGGACTGGAAGCAGCGCTGCGACGACATGGAGAACGAACTCGATGCATCGCAGAAGGAGTGCCGCAACCTCTCCACGGAGCTCTTCAAGCTGAAGGCCGCCCACGACGAGCTGCAGGAGCAGCACGAAAGCACCAAGCGGGAGAACAAGAACCTCCAGGACGAGGTGAAGGACCTGCTGGACCAGCTGGCGGAAAGTAGTCGGCTGATCAACGAGCTGGAGCTCACCCGAAAGCGGCTCACCATGGAGAAGGAGGAGCTGCAGTCGGCGCTGGCAGAGGCGGAGACCGCCCTCGAGGTGGAGGAGAACAAGGTCTACGCGGCGCAGCAGGCGCTGGAGCAGGCGCGCCTGGAGCACGACCGCCGCCTGCGGGAGAAGGAGGAGGAGTTCGAGGGCGTCCGCCGGAACATGCAGAAGGTCCTCGACCAGATGCAGGTCAGCCTGGAGGCGGAGGCCCGGGGCCGACAGGAGGCGCTGAAGGCGAAGAAGAAGCTGGAGGGCGACGTGGTGGAGCTGGAGCTGGCGCTGGACGCGGCCAATAAGGCGCACGCCGAGGCGCAGGCCTTCATCCACAAGCAGCAGGGCCAGATCAAGGAGCTGCAGGTGACGCTGGAGCACGAGATCCGCGCGAAGGAGGAGGCACAGGAGCTGTGGGCCGCCTCGGAGCGCAAGTGCCAGTCGCTGCACAATGAACTGGACCAGACGAGGACGCTGCTGGAGCTGGCCGACCGGAAGTGCCGCAACCTGGAGAACGAACTGGGCGAGGTGAACGAGCTGAACAGCGAGCTCAGCGCCGCCAACGCCGCCCTCTCCAACTCGAAGCGAAAGTTGGAGGGCGAGATGCAGATACTGAAGGCCGACTTTGATGAGGCGCTCAATGAAGTGAAGCTGCTGGATGACAAGTGCAAGAAGGCGATCCTCGACGCGGCCCGCCTCGCCGACGAGCTGAAGGAGGAGCAGGACCACGCGCAGGCGGAGGAGAAGCTTCGCCGGTCGCTGGAGGAGACGAACAAGGAGCTGCAGGTACGGCTGGACGAGGCGGAGCAGGCGGCCATGGTGGCCGGCCGGAAGACCATCGCCAAGCTGGAGAGCCGCGTCCGCGAGCTGACGCAGGAGCTGGAGAGCGAACAGCGGAAGTACAGCGAGTCAAGTAAGAACCTCCGCAAAGCGGACCGGAAGATCAAGGAGGCGGTCTTTGAGCTGGACGAGGCGAAGAAGAACGCGGAGCACCTGCAGGACCTGGCGGAGAAACTCAGTGCAAAGGTGAAGACGTACAAGCGGCAGATCGAGGAGGCGGAGGAGATTGCGGCGCTCAATCTGGCGAAGTACCGCAAGCTGCAGACGGAGCTGGAGGATGCGGAGGAGCGGGCGGACAGCACGCAGGCGAACCTCTCCAAGCTGAGGGCCAAGACGCGCTGCTCCATCTCCATGAACCGGGCGGCCAGTCCGGGGGTGAGTTTTAATAGTTGTTGAAGTTTAATTTACTAAAATTGCTAACCACTTTTTCCTCTTTTTTCCCTCAGCCCAAGTACTCTGACACCCAGCAGCTGCAGGCAGAATTGCTCTGAAGGGAAGGATGTTAAAGAAAAAATAAAATATAAAAAAGTTGAAGAAAAGTACCGCTGCTCTCTCTCTCTCTCTCTCTCTCTCTCTCTCTCTCTCTCCGCTTCCCTCTCTTTCTCATCTCCACCTCTTTTCTGAATTTTCTCGTGGACAACACTCTCTTTTGCTGCGCTTGAATCTCTTTTTTCTTTCTCACTTTCTTCTTCCCGAATGCCAAACGAATGTTGCTGTCGCTGCTGCTGTTGATCTGTCTCGACTCTTCTCCTCTTTTCTTAACTCCATTTTTGTATCCCTTTGTGTGGTGCCCTCTTCGTGTTGTTTGACACTCTTTTCTATATTCTCTTCTGCTTTCGTATCACTCAATAAAATTTTATTATTGTTTTGTTGATTATGTTGGGGGAGGTGTCTTCCCCCCGAGTGGACATTTATCTCCATCCTTCACCGAGCCTCTTTATTCATAATAAAATCGACTTTGAAAAGGCTTTTTGAATAGTATGATGCGCGCTGATCTTTAATCTGGTGGCGACAGAAGTAGTCAAAACAAAATAGAAGAGAAGAGAAAATATAATATAAGAGAAGGATAGAAAGTAAGGCATTTTGAAGAGGAGGAAGTGAAGGGAAAGTGGGGATCGCCAAATAAATGTGCAATAAGCAGATTCCAAAAGAATTACAAGATTTAGACAAAATTGTGAAAATAAGTTAGGAAAGGGGAAAGAAGTGAAAAACGTTTGTTGGTTGTGCTGTGCAATGGTAATAGCGTTCTCTGAAGTGGTCACCACCACTCTAAACGGCCTTTTCCTTCTTGTCACCCCCGGCGACTGATCCATTGGAGGTCACGACATTGTTGTTGTTGGTGGTGGTGGTGGTTGTGGGAGAGGAGGCAGCGGAGGCAACGCCATTCTTAGCCGGAGATGGCGACAGCTTATCGGCCTCAACGGCTTCACTGTAAAAGCAAGGCAAGAATTAGTTAGATAAAAAGGTCTTCATAGGTAAAAAGTCCTCTTACCACAGGTGGTTAATGACACTCTCAACGGTGTTGTTGAAGGAGCTGCTGTGATTATGCGAGATGAAGGTGGTGTTGCCGCTGCTGTTGTGTGTTGTAGCTGAAGAGGTGGTCGAGGTGATGGTCGTGTCGAGGACTGTGGTCGTGTTGTTCTGCTTGTTCTGCGTGTCCTCGTGATCTTCTTCTGAGCCGATTCCATTGACCACCTTCACCTCTTCGACCTTATTTTCAGCAGACTCAACAACTGTCGTCGCCTCTTCAGCCACCACTTCTGCAACCTCTGTTTCTTCCTGCTCCTTCACCGGCTCAGCTTCCGGCTCTGGGAGCTGAATAAAGCACTCGGGGTAGTTGGTCCGCTTGGAGCTGAGGGTGAAGCGCTGGTACTCACTGCTGGACTTCAGGTAGAAGCCCTCGCCAAACTTGGTCAGCAGCAAACTGGTGATGCCGTTGATGTCCTCCTTCTTCAGAAAGTGACACTGGTACTTGCGGCGAAAGTCCACCAGCGAGAAGAGGCTGACGTCCCCCAGGTTGGTAAGGCACTCCAGCGAGTGCTCCACGCTGCCTTCGTTTGCCTTCGAGGCGAAGGTGGCCACCTCAAGGCGGCGGACGCGCGCTCCCTCGTGGGCCGTCAGCTTGAATTTGTTCAGCGTCTTGAAGTGCGGCAGGCTGAAGAGCTTAAACTGCTCCTCCGAGCAGATCAGCACTCGAGTGCTGACCACCGCCGAGGATGACTGGTGATGGGATTGGTGGGGCTGATGATGATGATGCAGATGCTGCTGCTTAGGCACTCCCGTCGACTCGGGCACCGGCGTCCCCGTAGAGTCGACCAGGCGAATGAAGACAATGGGCGCTTTGTGCTGCAGCTGCACCTCCTTCGCCAGCTGCCAGACGGTGGCCGGCGCCGCCTTGTCCGAGGCGAGAATGTAGATGAAGACGGTGCCGGCGTTGGTGCCCACCCAGAAGGACGGGTAGAGGGTGTCTAGGAGAAATAAACAAAGGTTAAAAATGGTAAAAACAATGATAAAAAAGACACTCACTATTTACAATGACCGCCGTGCAGAAGTAGAGGTAGCGCACCATGGAGNACCCACCCAGAAGGACGGGTAGAGGGTGTCTGGGGGAGAAAAGCAAAAGGTTAAAAAGGGATAACAACAATAATAAAAAAGACACTCACTATTTACAATGACCGCCGTGCAGAAGTAGAGGTAGCGCACCATGGAGCTCATCATGTCCGCCTCGGTGCGCGCCTCAATCTGCCGCTCCACCGGCCTAGTCTCCACCTCTTCAGCGCCGCCCATCAGTCTTCCAGTGGACTTGGTTGTCACTCCGGTTGTGGTAGTAGCTGCTCCAGCCGCTCCGGGCCGTTTCCCCTTCTGCGAGCGGCCCTTTCGCAGGCGGCGAAATGACTCCCTGAGGCTCTTCTTGAAGGACTTTCGCCGACTGATCAGCGCCTCGCCGCCGGCCACCGAGGCATGGCCGGCCGCCTTCAGCGTCGTCTTGCAGATCAGCACGCACTGGCGGACGTACTCGACCAGGCCAAAGCCGTGGGCGGTGCCGGCGGCCACCACCGACCACTGGCTGCCCACGGCGAGGGCGGTCACCGCCGCCGGCGGGGTGATCTGCAGCAGCGTTCGCGGCTGGTAGCCAGAACCCGAAGAGCTGGCCTTTGGTTTACCAACAGCTCTTACCGGCAACGCTCCATGACCCTTCCACACAAAGCCGTCCTTGTCGTCCACCAGGTTCAGCTTGAGCGTGGTGAGCGCCGGCTCGCCGCCCACGGCTCGCTCTGAGGCGGCTCCAGCCAGATCAAAGACAATGACCTGGCCGGCGGTGCCGCCCACCGCCAGGACGCCCTTCACCGGGCAGAGGGCAATCTTGCGAACGGCCAGGCGGTGGTCGTCGGTGTAGGGGTCAAAGTTGCCCACCTTCCGGAAGGGCGGCCACTCATCCGTCTCGTCGTCTTCGTGCGTTCTCGCCAGCTGCTCATCGCCGCCCTCGTCGCCGTCAATCATCGCAAAGTCGTCGTCGGCGGAGAGGAAGAGCCGCGCGGTGGCCAGTGTGTAGAGGTGCTTCAGCGAGGTGCTCGAGGCGTCCCAGAAGCGAACCGTGCCGTCCTCGTGCCCGGTAATGAGCAGGTCTTTGGGCGAGCCTTCGCTCGAGGCTGCTGAAGCGGCTTGCTGTTGATTGTGATGGTGAGGGCACTTGCTGATGCCACCGGTGATGGGCCAGCTGTTGGTGCTGTACTTTGAGGAGCCAGCCCCGGAGGAGGAGGAAACGGATGGTGAGGTGATGCTGCCGCCACCGCTGCTGCTATTTCCCGCCTCCAGCAGGCGACTGCAGATGCTGCCGGCCACGGCGGAGTAGTGCGCCGATGTGGTGATCGGCGACGAGTGCAGACAGCTGAGGTAGGGCAGCTTGTGCTGCGGCCAGTCCTCGGCGAGCAGGTCAATAACGACGATCTCCTCCTCGACGAGGACGACCAGCGCTTCAGGACCAGCACTGGTCGGTGAGTCGGCTAAGAAGTTGAAATGAAATGATGACGTCAGAACAACAACAGGCTAGTTAAAGAGAAAGTTTTAAACACTTACCAGCTGAAGGCACCAGCAGAAAGTCGATGACCTTGGAGGTAAAGTCGAGCACCTGGTTCTTCTCTCTGGTGAGGTTTTCCGACGTCTGCGAGAAGAGTATAGAGACCACCTCTTTGTCGCTGTACGAGGCACGCGGCATGCCGCCGCCAAAGATGAAGAATTCTCTGAAATAGGGCAAGGAAAAAGCATTATTAAAACCATAAAAGCTCGCTTTAACTGAACTTACCCATTAGCGGTACTGCTCCAGAGAATCTTGGTGATCGCCTTGCAGGGAAACGGTCCGTAGGGCAGCTTAGAAGAGGACGAATGCTGCTGGTCGCTGCCACTGTCGACGTCCCAGGTAATGTAGGAGCCGTCGTTGTGCGAGCTGATGAAGCGCTGACCGTCCGCGTGCCAGCTGAGCGACTCCAGTTGCTGTAAAAAAAGAAAGAAATGCCGATAAGATTTAAAGACTATAGAAACCCACAATTATTTACCTGCTCAATGATAAAGTGCTTCACCAGCGTCTGCCGCTCGTAGTCCCAGAGGGCAATCAGACTGCGATTGTAGCCGATGAGGAGCAGTTTTCCCGTAGGACACTCCTCGACCGCCTCCACCGAACCGGGCTTCTTCAGCTCCGCCGGCACGCCCGAGCACTTGAGCAGAGCAGTCTGGCTGATCAGCCCACCGCCGCCACTGCTTCGAGGCTTGAGGG